GAACTTGGGCTTCACTATCTTTATTGGAATATCCGACATAATCTCGCGATACATGGAGCTGGAGATCTCCGGCAGGCAGTTGCTGGGCAACAACGGGTCGCAGCCGGTGTCTATCACCTTGCGTTCCATCAACCAGCGGTTGAAGGAATCTCTGGGTGCCTTTATATTTTCTCTGCGCATGCACAGATCTTCGTAGGTTTTTAGCAACTTCATGGTGAAGGCTGCCCGTAAAGCCTCTACCTCAGGATGCGGTTGCGGCAGAAGAGTTGGCGGTCGCTCTACAATTACGGCATTGGTGCACACTTCCAGGTCCCAGGGACCGGCCAAAACAAACTTCTTCATTGGAGGTCCACCGCCCATATGATGCTGGTTGGGATTGATGTGCATGTCATCCGACGGCCGACGCTTCAGATGATGATGCTGGTGCTGTTGCTGCTGGTGCATATTGGGTGTCATCGGCGTCGGACCGCCTGCATGGCAAATGCCCAAGGGATCGGTGAGCGGATCAAAGGGTCTGGTGCCGGGCATCTCCCACAGCGATTCGCCGGTGACCTTGTTCCAATAGTATGGTCGGTTTTCCCTTTTGGACCAGAATTTTCGCCATCCCTGGGTCACCAGCTCGGCGGTAAGCTCCTCGCCATAGCCTCCGGGTCCCAAGGTAGGAGGACCTTGCGGCGTATGAGCCATGCTCTCCAGGGGTGAGGGAGCATGTGTTTTCGTGGGCGTCGAAGGTGAGGAGCAACTGGCCATTGGTGAACTGACCGACCCACCGCCCGGAGTGTCCGGTAAAATGGGTCCCGTGACCGTGGGAGCTCCTGCCGTGGGTGAAGGTGACATGTTGTTGGAGGCACTCGCCGTCAGCTGATCCCAAGCACTCTGTGCGGCGGAGGAGGCGGACGATGACGATGATCTTGAGGGCACTGGTGAGGATCCCATTCCAGGAGTTCCCGTCGACGCAATCACGGAGGACAGCAAGCCCTCCGTTCCCGCGCCCAGGTTGTGTATGTTGCTATTGTTGTTGTTAGCTGCCATGCTGCGAAATATTTCTGCAAGAACGAGGTAAACAAAACAAATGTTTACAATCGGAGATGAGAGAGAGCAGAGCCGCAAAAAGAAAAGATAATCAATGGCCAGTGATGACATATTGGGTTTTCGGAGAATAGCTGGTAATCGGCAAAAGCAATAATTATAGAGGTCATAACTTATGCAAAATTAAAGAATTAATAACTTTTGATTACGAGTACTGAGCATCGACATTTATTTTAAATATAACTTTATGTTCTTGAATATTTTAAATGTACTATCTATTAATTATCAATCTAATACCATTGGCTCATAATTTATGAAATCGCCTTTATTCAGCACTTCAAAATTAGGTAAGAGTTGGGACTTGGAAATATGTGGAAATTGTTTTAATATCCAGATTATAAGCAATTATACTACGGCATATGCATACAATTCAAATAAAGGGTCAAAAAACGCTAACTGCCAGTTTGGCTAAAAAGTAGCCAACGCGACACTGGTACAATGGCAGATAATGAAGTGAGCGCGCACCGGAATCGAATCGAAGAAACCAGAACCACCACCAGAGAGCTATAACTGCCGTTAGTCTGCCAGTCGACAACAGCCACTCAGTGGAGCGAGATCGGGGGCACGCTAGAGTCGGACGGAATGATGCGTGGGGATCGTGGGGAGTAGTAGGAACTAAAACTAAAATGTGGGCTGATAAATAATAAAAAAACAGCAGGGCGCCCTTAGCCCAAAAACAGTTAATTCTACGCCCACACAAACGAGGTGAAGAAGCAAAGAGAGGAGGCGCGCATGAGCGAGAGAGCCTGAGAGAGCGACCCAAAGCACGAATGAGAAATCAAAACAAATTGCAAAAGAATAGAGATTTTCTGCCTGGGTTATGTGTATATGTTTTGACGAGCGTGTACCAAGCGTATGCGCACCGCCACAAGCGGAATAAAAAATATACAAAATAATTTGCTGCACTCGCACACACACACACTAGCACACCTCCGCTGACACACACACCCGCAATAACTGCAGGCATTATGCACGCCATATAAACAATTGCGAAAAAAGTTACACTTGGTTTCGTGGCCCTCGACGGCTACGTCATAGCACTAAAATAATGGCGCGCTTTTTCAGTGCACCCACATAAAGTCGCTAAAAATTAAAGGAAAATATAGTATCAGTCAGGGGAACTTTGCAACGCTCAATTCCAGGCGGAATCGGGCAACTCGCTGCTCGACGGGGTAAATAAACAACATTCTGGGTGCAACGAAAATTTCTCTACACTTTCTTTTTTGCACCCACTGAGGCACAGGCACATCAATATTTTCCATTTTATATACTGCCTGGGCATCGTGTGGCCGCACTGCTTGAAACGCCACAAAACTCACCTAGTTTCAACTATTCTAGTCTGATAAACACGCGCTACGTGTTTGCAAACATTTAGGCGTGCTCTTTGCGTAAATATTCCCGCGATTTTCTTTGGAAATTAAAAAATAAGTTCTTCCAAATTCTTTTTCAGCGACGAAACTCGGGGCAGTCGAATCGAGATGGCATTGCGGCGATAGCCAGCACGGTATCGATTGGCTGTTCTTTTTCACCCTATCGTTGGACTTCCGCGATTAATCGTATACGATAGTTCAGTGGTATTTTTTCCCACGTGAAATTTTAAATCTATAAACTATAAATTCCATTAAAGAAATCAGAAACTGTAAATTACTTTGTTTCTTTAATACTTTTCTAGTGGATTCAAAGGAGCGGTCTCTTAAGTTGGCGCAAAACTCAGCTCGATTGGAATGTTTAACCATACATTTACTTTAATTTATCGTCTGCAATTTTAGACAAATTTCTATGCTTATGTTGAGATCCGGCTTGTATCTGTTAATTAGCCTCAGCAAGTTATACTTTTTCGCCTTGGAGTTGTTTGATTCCAGTTCATATAGAGTCGAGAGATTGACCAGCAAACTCTCGTTCAGTGACTTCTGGGGATTCATGTTAATAGCGCGCTCATACAGATTTATAGCATCCTTTAGCTTTCCGGCATACAGAAGGCACACGCCCATATTGTTCAGGATCATTGTGTTGCCGGTGTCCAAGTGCAAAGCTTTCTGGAATATCACATAGGCCTCGGGGAAGTCGTTTTTGGCCACAGCTATTAGGCCTTTATCGACCAAGTCCCTAAGATCAGGCGAAGAGTTTCTAAAACAAGAAACATATTATTTAACTGAAATTCGCGTTAGCTAGAGTCGGGGCATACATTTCCCTTAATCTCCTAGAGACGGCGATCTTCTGCTCTGCTCCAAATATGTCACCAATTTGGAGATAAATGCGACCCCAAGCGGAGTACAAGGATCGCCGATCCTCCTTGCTCAGGTTAGACCGCTTTAAAAGAGTTCCCTCCATTATGTCGTCTATCATACTAAATTTCTTCATCTGCAAGAATGAAGTGGCTAATGTGGGACTCATTTAAATAATGTCTTTCTTAAACGTACCATTAATCCACAGTTGATGATTGAATGCAAAACCCTTTCGCATCGTCTTTGCCAAAACTCCTCTGCCGCCTTGTTGTGCAGATTTGTATAATGCTCCTTGATTTCCCGGGTGGTCACATGAAGTTCTGAAAGTCTGTCCAAGGCGACGTGGGGTTTGCCCAGATAAATGGGCAGCTCTGCGAGTAAAAGCCGGAAAGAAAAGCAGGCTATGGATCCACTCTTGCCGTTGTACATCTCCGGATAGAAGTCAAAGAAGACATCAGGGCTGGTAAGTTGGCCAAAAGGTTCTGCCTCGGCATTCAACAGCTCAAACTCGCCCAACTTGGCGAGCAGCGCAAGTCGTGTGAACCATAATTGCAGGGAGTGGGGCGAGTGCTTGGCTGGCTGACCAGATCTGCCGTAACCCTGGCCATAAATAGTTAGGAGTCGGCCAGTAAGATTCACGGCAGTGCGATAGCAACCGGCATGGATTAGTGTTCTCAATCCGCGCTCATCCTGGGTGACATCATCGACGCGAAGGATCTTTCGGTAAGACAACTCAGCCTCTCCAAGGTGTTGGGTCACCGCCACGCTGATGGGATCTGCCTGGAACAGTCAATATAGCAAATGTGTTATTATAATTAAGAAGTACAGAATTTTACGTACCAAGTCATTTTGCAGATGGATGCCCGGCATAATAAGTTTGCCAGTCTCGTTTTCCCGCGGCAACTCCCATAGATTTCTTACGTCGTCACTGACTTTTGCGGAATCCTCTCCTGCCTCAGGTGTCTCTACATATTCAGGTGGCTGGAAGAACCCGGTGAAGGTGTTGGACATCATGTTTGCGGCGGAACTGGTGTTACTGGCGCTGCTGGAAGTCCCTTCTAGTGGTAAGTCCTTGCGATTGGGTTTGCTCGCCAGCTCATCGAAAAAACTGGGCGGATCGTTTGCGAAATATTCGCTTATTTTATGTGACATGTCTTTCTTTGATTGTTTTCCGATAAGTTATTAGGGATGACACTATCGCTGCTGGCAGAGCAAGTGCTATCGGCTGAAAGTGGCGCCAATAGTTCAATAGTTTGAAAACGTCTTATAAATAGCTAATAGTAATTTTGCGGCCGGTACAGGTTAAATAATAAACAAAAAAGTCCAAACACAAAAATATTCATGTATTCATGTATTCTTATATAATGATTGTAGAAATACAAATATTGCTACACTCTAATATTAGATTTTGGATCCTTTGTTCAAGAGTTTTTTTCGAGAACATATTTGAAACGTGTGCTGCTCAGCAACATAATGATTTAAAGTCTTAAGATTCTACTTTTACAGACCAATGTAAACTATATAAACATATTATATTGTCTTTGGTTTAGCCAAATAGTAGCCCATTTAATGTTGTCTTGGTTTAAGAATATTTGGATTTGCCCATAAAAATGATAGCTTATCCATTAAAGTTAAATTATTTGCTTTAAATGCCAAATAAAACACGCACAGATTTTGTAATTCAAGTTTATTGATCTACTGTCATTTGTTTATTATTCAAGTTGTACAATACATAAAGCAAAAATTAGTTCATTCTACAGCTAACAAAGATGGCCATTTGATGACCACTTTCCATTTGCCTTTATCCTAACATAAAACGCATTACACTTTATTTACACAAAAACAGCCTCGCTCGGATCGCAGTTTATTGCCCATTGAAAATCGTTTCTGGATAATAGCTGGGAGCATTGAACATGCGCGGGAATCCATTGCCATCCAGTTGGCCCACGGGCAGGACCGACATTATGTCACTAAAATGAAACAGAAACCATGGGACTTAGACTTTTTGTTCATTTGTTTGACTTAGGAGCTTGAATTACTTGTTAAATATCTACTTAATCCTTTCGAGCATACATTCTTTTAATTCTAAACATATACATAATAACTTTGGGCAATGGACCACCTAAGGAATCTCCCTTACTTGGAATCTCTCAAAAATGCCTTGACAATTATCAAAATAAGTGAAGTAATTTCTTTCCAATACCATTTTTTAAGATTTCTGTGCGTTTTCCGAATGGTTATAGTTATGAAAGTGCGACTGTGTATTTCCGAACAGCTAAAAAAAACACATTTACTCCACTTGTGAGCTCGGGTGTGGTATGTGGGGTGTGGGATATGGGATATGGAATGGGTGCTGCAATTTGACGCCCCGGAGAGGCCATGCGATCAAACAGCGGGATGCGGACGAGGCCGAGTATGAGGATGAGGGGCACATGCTACACGCATGCGCTGCGTTAGGAGTCGGGCACGTCCCGAGTCCCTTGGCTCTATAAATATGCAGAGGACCGTGCAAGGAGCCGGCCGAAATTGGACATAAAACACGCTCAAGTGGGCGGACTAGAGGCACAAGTGCTATACGGTACGGTACGGTCACTTACAAACGATTTTTAATGCCAATTCCAAAAGAATTGATTATATTCGTTCGGATTTCGAAGTTCTGTGCTGGGGCGAAACACGCTCAAGTGTTGAATGAATTGTTTTACGAGTTATGAGGAAATGGAAATTACCATGCCGGGGTTAGATTCGTCTTTTAACAAATTTGGCTTGCTCAAGTTCAGGGAAATGTAAAGAAATTTAACTACACTTCAAATGGCATTAGCTGTATGGTAAGTATGAATGAAGAAAAATGTACATAGTTTTATAAACGCCTTTTAATGTTTCGTTTGGGGAATTTGAAGAAACTCTAATTGCACCTAAATCGAAATTGCTTATGTAGCAGATAATTGATGCATTTTTTGGGTTGATGATGATGGTGATGATCAGTGGTGTGGTTCGAAAAGGATTTAAATTATAGTTAGTGGGAACTTATGGATGTCATGGAATGATGTTTTGTGACATCGACTTACGGTCTTTGCTGGGGCGTGCGGTCCCGCTGGCGACGGTTCTTGAACCAGTTGGAGACCTGGGTGAGCGTGAGGCCGGTCTTTTTGGCCAGCGTCTTCTTCTCGTCGGGGGTGGGATAGCGGTTGGTCAGGTAGCAGTCCTTGAGGGCGTTCCGCGACTTCTCCTTGAAGCAGTAGACCGTCTCCTCGCCATCCCAGATCGTCTTGGGCAGGGGGTACTTCTTGCGCAGGCGGTATTTGTCCACTGCGCCCAGTGGACGGCCACGCACCTTCTCGGCCTCCTTGTAGTGGGCCTTGAACCAGAGATTCTGCAGATCCACGTGGTACTTGATCGAGAAGCAGTGCGTCTCCAGCAGGTTGTAGAGCTCGTGGAACTGGCCCAGATTGTAGGCCACCATGGCGCGGGCTCGCAGAACACTCTCGTTGGTCTTGAAGAATTCGCTGGGCGGCAGGCTGCAGAGGAATGTGGTCAGCTTCTCGATGTCGCCCTTCTGCTGCAGTGCCTCACACATGCACTGGATCTGGAGAAATGAACAGCACCATGTACATATCTGAAAAGTCTAGGATATATTTGTAAAGCTTCATACCTGATCCGTGGAGAACTGCAGCATTTTGGCGTCGATGGGAAAGCTGCTCACTGCGGACATGTTGTGGGCGGCTGTGAGGTTGGATATGAGGTGGCCACCGCTGCCGGGATTGCCCCCCAATCCACCGCCAGTTCTCTGTAAGCCGCCGCACAGGTCCGTCTTCGTGTTCCCGTTGAGATCTCCCAAGTTTCCACTGCTCCCATTCTCGAATATTATGCTATTCAGGCTGGGATAGTGCGTGGGCGTGGTCGATGCGGTGGGCGGCGGGGACTTGTCGTAGTCATTGGTGATGTCCTGGAACCGCCGCTCCAGCAGGTGATCCTTTTCCACGCCCTCATAGGGCGCAAACTTATCCAGCTGCAGCACCGTTTTGCATGACAGGTTGCCCCGATAGCCTGAGTATTGAAATTTGGAAACTGTTGTCAGTCAGATATCTTAAACTTCAATCTAAAACATATTACACCAAATGCCGTTCAATGTTGAAAGACTTATTTAATTAATAATTTATATTCTGCTTAAGCTTGCGCAATTCGGAATCAAGTATGTTGCCAAGTAATTCAGTTGCTGGGACCTCAAGATGAGTTCCAGGAGATTTGCAAGCACTCCGATTGTAATCATGACATCTACATATCTTACACCGCTATCTAGATTAGCTACTTGCTCGTTCTTTCCCACGTGCCACTTCCATGGTGGTCAATGATAGCCCCGCCTTCCCCGGGGACCCAAGCTCGGATGTGACTAATCGAATACCCAACATGACCAGAACGCTCGCAGTCTTTCGACACCTCAGACGAAGGGGACTGCCACTGTGGATCATATTGAGCCCGAAAGAGACATCGGCAAATAAATAAATGCGATATGCTTTACACAGCTAAATGTGTGGATATGCAGTTGTGAATATGTAAATCTTATAACATTTAATACATTTTAATTGATGGGCGAATTGCGGGTGCCCTTCCATAATGTCGGATACCCTTTGGGTAGTAAAGAAGAAATGGAAGAGTGGTGTAGTTAGTTTGAAAAACGCTATGCAAAGGTTTACTAAGCCAGAGCATTTACAATTTAAATCAAACATTTTAGGGTAAACTGGGGGAATTAAAGGCTTTGCTGACAATATTGAAAATGGAGTATTGAAACCCGAATTCGAAAAAACAAATATAGCATTTGAAGGAATCTAAGAATGGTTAGCAATGCGATAAGTGTAGAAGGCGACCTTATATAGGTGACGCAATAAACTGCCCGACATAACTGCATTACCCACATCTTTCACCCTATCCATGCAGTCCTCAAAAGTCAAAAATGTGTGCTGCTCAGCAGAATAAAAGTCCCAGGCTTTAATTGTTTATGCAGCGCCTCATTGACGCCTCTGTCCCGAAACACGATACCCTGGGTCTCTTGTCTCTGGACTATTTGCACCGATAAGACTAGACGACTAGACCTAGTTGGATCCGATGGGCGCAGAATACGATAGCGGACTCACCAGCATTTGGAAGGAAGAGTGATCCGTAGGCCATCGGGGAGCTGAGATTATCCTGCTGGACAGCCGAGTGATCCGAGGACGTGCCGCCGGAACTCGTCGAGTCCAGGTCCCCGCCGATGGAGACCGATAGATTGTTGCCGTCCATGTTCTTGTCAAACATTGTGCACCGATTGGTTGTTAAATTATATGAGGTTGGGCTTTTGCTCTTCTTTCTTGGTTTTTATATATTATATTTATTTTAGTTTATCATTTTAGATTCGTTCCACATTACACATTTTACAGAACTACAATGTTTGCTATACTATTTTACTTAGCACTTGGGTAACTGCTTCAACTGCTTTGGCTTACTTTGAAACTTAAGGCCAATCAAACTGAGCATTAAGGCTTAAGTTTACTTCACGTTACTGCGATATGTAAGTCACTCAGTTAACACCACTTTTTGCTGTTTTGACTGGACCTCTCGAATCACTAACTGCATTCATTTGATCTACGATTTGTAGCTTTACTTTGTGAACATCTCCTACTTGTTGCGGGCTGACTGGATATTCTGATATTCCCAAAACTTCTGAATTTATTCCGATATTTCGCGGACCGATTCTGCCCAGCGACTTGACGCGACCGCTCTTCAAACTCGACTGCAAGCCAGCGAAAACTGCATTCCAAGGGTGTGTTTCGTGCCATTCCGTTCCGTCGGCCTGCGAAACGAGTGGATTGGGGGATGCCAGCCGCTTACTGGCTGCAATCCCGCCAATTTAGGGGTGGTTCCGTTTCCGCTTCCTGTCCGCGGCGGTGGGCGGTGGGCGTGGCAGTCGGCAGCCATTTTGTCCCACCGCCTTGCCGCCGAGAAGACTTCTTCGCCTTTGTCTCGTCTTTGCTATCTAGGGGCAGAATGGGTGTTGGATTGGCAAACATCATGACCTCATTAGCATTTTCGAGGGTGTCTGATGATTGCCGTGTGCTGTTTCTTGGAATTTACATCGGGTTTCTGTGATATTGCTTAATTTCTAAACAGTAAAATGGCCTTCTCGAATTGGAACTTAATGTGCCTTAATTGCTAAAATACTGCCATGCAGTTTAAAGTTCAATATGTAAAGAGCCTTACAGAATCAATCCACTCGTACTTCTAAACTTAAATAATACAACAGTGTTTTTTATTTATAATTGGCGCGTTAGACAGCAACATATTGAAGTGTGTTAATAAATTCAAATTTGAACATGTTATATAGTAGGTTTGATTGTACCGATTAGATATTCAGTTTATAATGTTATATTCATATTTTCTTGAATAATTTCCATATTTTTTTAAAATAAGATACAAGTCAAGCCCCATCGGTTATATTTTGGTTATTAGCAATAATATTAATAATTAATTGACAAACATGTTGAGTTCCAAACTTGAATTTGCCTCTGTATGCAATAGGTATAAAGTCAGACGCGATGCAATTTGATGCTCGACTGAGGCTGAGTTTGGGAAAATTCCTTCTGCTGCGCATCCAATGCGATCAAATTTCAATTACAAAGCGCTGCTCTCGACTGCATTCAGCGCAAAATGGTGTGATGGAATAAAATGAAATAAAGTGACATGACAAAGGTGACAATCCACAAAAAGGCCAAACAATTCCGTTGCCCCCGGGAACAGGAGCAGGAATAGGAATAGGAATAGAAACAGGCACAGAAACAGGAGTACTCCTCGCTCTGTGATTGTTGTCGAAAGGGAATTCATTAAGCACCAAGCCGGAGGGTTGACGATTTCGTCACACTCGCAATTCCCATCAACACAGTCCCAAAAACCCAGATTTGTCACACCGAACATCATCGGCACTCCCCGAACAATATTACAGACTCATATCCCCTCTGCTCTCAACACGCGATGGCACAGGTGTCGAGCCCGATGGCGGATTAGGTCCACTTACTCGGGGATTAAACAGTTTTGTTATGTGTTTTTAAGTCCTAGACTGCTTTATTGACACATGAAAAACATTCAGTTGATTATGATGGCGAGCGGGATGCCTTTCCTTGCTTTCCTTATATATCTCTGCCACTAAATACAAATAGTTTCCAACATTTGCACTTGTAATGTATAATTACTGGCATGGTTTATTTGTATACACATGTTTCGTTACATATTCAGGACATGTTGCTTACCCTTTGCTTGTTAGCAAATGACCCATGTTAGCCGTTGCTGGGCAACGCCCCTTTGCAGAGGTGTGCCCTTTAATTGACCGCAGTGGAAGGATTGCAATTCCATCCGCGCTAATTCCATTATTAAAATTAAAATCACGTGTCAGGACTTAGGCATCGCATGCAAGCGTCGTGCAAAATAACAAGCCCTATTTTATATAACTTATGGTTTGTTAAGCTTTGTGAAAACGCGTCTCTTGGTTCCCACACTATCGTGTTTAGCTGAGCTAAGCCGAATTTTTCACTCGGTCGCCTGGTGTCTGTTTCAAAAAAACTCAAGCGCATAAAGGCATTTGAAAGTACAACAAGTTTGAGGCGAAAATAATAGAAAACTTGAGACTTAAAAATAAATATTGGTTAGAAATAGCGCTAGGATCTAAAAAAAAGTACCTAAATTTGTAAGAAGATTTTCATTTAAATATCATATGCAAATTGTTCTTAATAAAAAATAAAACAAAAATATTGCAAAACATTTACTCTAAATTGTATCTTGTCCATACGGAATCTTGCTAATCCACGCTTCCTTCATCCACAACTACTTCCTGGATAATACTTTTTAAGTAGCTCCTCACGTTTCACCTCAGTTCCCACTGTTTGCATCATCCAGCATTATAATACCCCGTAAATACCCGGAATTCCCAAGCACTTTGCGATAATCTCCAACTATTACTCAATTTTCCATACCAAAATCCGTATAGCTACTCTTGAATTTTTGTGTTCCCTAGTAACTTCTTGCATAACCATTTGTGGCTGGCCAGCCCATCGTTTTCAATGGTTTTTCAATGGCTTTCCATTGTAGTCCATTGTTTCCCCTGTCGACGCTCGACAAATTGCTTAACTTCTCGCAAAAAGAGACAGGACGCTCCAGGATATTTAGCAAACGTCATCATCCTGAGGCAAGAGAAGGAAAACCTGCCCGGTTAATCCCAAAATTCCAGATTCGGGCCAGAAAATAGAGCAGAAAACAGCTTACCATCTGTAATCCCGAAACTCCCAACAAAGCGCTTTGTAAGGTGTCACCTTGTCGCTATCCTGTCTGCTCCCATTCACTCGCAGGATTTCTTTATCCTGTCGATCACACAATAATGGGAATTGTGTGGGAGTTTGTCTGGCGATGCCAAATGATTTTCGCACCTTTAGCTGGAAAATGTTTTGGGCATTACGCGTTGCACACAAAGCTCTTTATAGAGGCACAGGGCAATTCAATTAATACGATTTGGAAGCTAAAGAACTAATGAAGGCCAGCAAAACAAGCAAAACCCATGAAATTAATAAAAAAAAAGAATAAATAATAATAGTCCACACAGATTGTTTTGTATAAGCTATAAAATGATATAAATACTTGATGATACTCAACCGTAGCTATGTATTCGTGGGTCGAAAATACGTTGGCATATTTTTGGAGACAACACGAGACCCTCAAATTAATCCTCTTGAAAGGCAGAAAAACCAGGAAAACAGTTCCAAATTTTCCCCGCCACTTAGTAACGCAAATCAATCAATCGCGACTCTCCTTCGTTAATTTCGAACATATGCTGGGATTCTTGATTCTCGAACACCAGACAATTTCCACGACTAATTGGGCGGGCGAGTTCCATGGGCCCATTGAGAACTGGGAAAGGGGTGTAAGAGGATCCTTAGTTGGCAACCAGCTCATTGTTCGCATTAATGAAAGCTCCGCTGGTGTTTCCTTTCTCAACTCGACCGCTAAACAACAAACTACAACTTTTCCACCTAATACTCTTCAGCTATTTGTGTACACAGCGTAGCTGCCCAGATTTGAATTTGATAATTGATTGCAGTTCACCTTCTGAATGGGAATTCTGTTGAAAGTCGGAAACCTGACCAGAAGGGCAACTGATTTCCATCATTCCTCTAGATCAGATTTTTCGATTTGCTCTTTCTAAATTTGGTATGGAGAGTTCTTGGGAAATTTTGGCCAAAAACGAATGCAGTTGGAAGGTTGACGGATAAAGGCTGATGAGATAAAATCAGAACTCCATTCATAACTATGTTTTCCAAGAGATGCCCAAAACTGCCCGGTGCTTCTCATCAATGCGAAGAGAAAAAATGATTCTATTCATCATATTATTTATATTCATGTTCAATATCACGCCTGGCTTTTATTTAAATACAATTTCTAGTATACGCGGAAAATCTTGTTTTTCTAACGCCTTTATTAAGCCAAAATTGTAAGCTAATTATCCACAACGAAATCAAATTCCCGCGGGACGCAATTAGTGTATTTTATATTTTTTATTTTGGACATATGCTTTCCCTGCCGCAAAATGAGCAAATAAATCATAAATGTTTCATTCAGCGTAATTGAGCCCGAACTTACCCCTAAGTTTTCCAAGGAGCAGGGTGTGTCACCATGCCTACACTTCGGTGAAACGAAAAAAACAATGTAATCCGAGAAGGTTTTGGAATGTGCGTAATATTGTGTGCCGGCAGCGAGGGTAAGGGGAAATTGGTGGAAAAACTGCTTCAAATCTTAGGGGTTGTTATGGCTCCGCCCCTTGGAACAAGTGGAATCGAACTACCAGCGACGAAACAAAATGGGAATGAAACTGTTTCGTTTAAGAATTTGAATAGGGGAACCCATTTCACATTTTCTTTTCAGCACAAAATACTATTTATAAGCCACTTTTACAAATAATAATAAAAGTATATTGCAAAATTCAGTTCCAGATATTTTTTTACATTTATACACAATAAAATAAAATTAAAAAAAGGTCGAAATGATACATATAATGGAACAAAACATTTTTTTAATAAAACAATGAGAAACAATAACAATTTAACAGCAATCAAAACGAAACTCAAACATCTTTGGCCAGCTTATGGATCTGGCGATAGTTGACGTCCACCATTCTGATACTACCCCCAACTGTGGCCAGCGGCTTCATAAAGTTGTTCAGTGTGGTGGCCACCGGTTCGAGGATGTCCCTCGTAGAACACAGTATATTGTATAGGAAAATCAGAGGTGGCTGAAGGTAACCGTTGAAGAGCATGGTCAAAAGGGGCTTCAGCATGTAGTCCGAGGTCATGTGGAGCAGTCCAACGATCAGGGTGTTCACCAGGGAGTAGAGGACGAATCGGTAGCTCTGCAGGATGAAGGCCACCACGAAGGCCACGGCGATGTGGAGCAAGCCGAAGAGCTCCGCCCAGAAGTGGGTGGCATAGGTGGTGGCTCGGTCGGCCAAGATAATGGCGTTGATCTTCGGATGCGTGTCCGTGGTGCTCAGATAATCGGCGCATCCGTGCTCAAAGGGATAGATGCCTATGCAGGTGTGCCGGCTGGCTTCCTTGCGATTCCACTGCGGCTCCGGCAAGTCATCGATAATGGATTTCTGGGTCTGCGGCTGGCACTTGCACATCTTGTCCAGCGACTCCACCAAACGGGCCAAAAAGCCACCTTTCTGCTTCTTCGCCAGCGATGCTTTGTGGGACTTGGTGCGACCCTTTACCTTGGGAGCAGATCTCGTCCGAACGAGCACATGGGGACGCCTTTTGGAGTAACGCTGGAACTCGATCCTTTGGGGCTTGTTCTTCATCAGGCTAAGCAGACTCTTCTCTGGTTCGGCGCGCATCTCGTACAGAGTGTGTGGTGAGCTGCCGAAATCCGTGGACGCGGTCATCTCTTCACACGCCACATCATTGAACATGTTGTACTGGGTCTGACTGTTTTGATAGGCGTCCGAATCACTGGAGGAGTTCATCCGTGGAAAGATCTTCTTTAGCGGGGAATGCAGCTTGGCCGTTACCCCCACATGATTCACTTTGATCAGGTTGGACTTCGAGGTGGAGCAGTGGGGATCTGTTGACTCGGACATAGTTTTCGGACCTTATGTTTTAAACTAATGACGTCCTCCTGACATCTTTTTCGATAGAAAGATCTGAATTTTTTAGATTCAACTTTTTAGCCTACCGAAAAGTATGACATTTTAAACTCATTAGCTTTCTAATATAAAAGAGAACTGATTCCTTTTGGGTGATAAGAAGAATTGAGTGACAAAAATATGTATTCTAATAAAAATATTAAATTTAAGGTGTCGATTGGTTCATATCCGCGCATACTTTCCATTTCCGGTTTGCGTCACCACTAATGTTGCCGGTAGGTTTCGGTATATTCTCGGTAGATATTATACTGTCAGTGTTTTTTTTTACCGGCCGCAAACGGTCACTCTCGCTTCACCGGAGCAAATTTGGAAAAAAATACAACTGTAATTAGGAGCCATAATTAATTCATATCAAATCGCACACGCTTTTTTGTTTAGCTAGCCAAATACAGGAAGCATACACAGCCGGAATGATCGCCTCCGCCTGGCGCAGCATGGCCACCACAGTGGAGACCCAGTTGACGGCCACCTACTTCCGAGGTTCGTCCAGCAATCCGAAACTGCTCCTGCGTTCCTGGCGGACAATTGCTCGAGCGGATTCCCCTGGTTTCGGAGCGATTGAGCGGCGGTTTCTGGCTGTGCCCGTCATCTGTCCAAGTCTCGTCAAGCGTAATCTATCCGTACATATGTGTTTAATCTAATCTCTGCCTGCGCTGCATTTCCATTTCCAAATATCTACGCTTTTTGTTCGTCTGTAGTTAGACAGTCTGGTTATCTGTTGGGCCATCTAAATGTGAAATCATCGCCTCGTTACAGTGCAAAAACTTCGCAAAGTCGGCTTCAGAGGCATGCACAGCACCGTGGAGGACGTAAAGCTGGAGGGCATGGAGATCAAGATCCTGCCGGCCCTGCAGGACAACTATATGTATCTGATTGTGGACACGAAGACGCGTGAGGCGGCCGTAGTGGATCCCGTGGAACCGGAGCTAGTCATCAAGACGCTGCAGGAGCAGCAGCTGACCCTTAGCAAGGTGCTGACCACGCATCATCACTGGGACCACGCTGGTGGCAATGAAAAGCTGGTCAAGCTGTGGGAGAAGGAGCTGGATGTGTATGGCGGCGATGACCGCATTGGTGCCTTGAACAAAAAGGTCCAGCAGGACGACACCTTCACCATTGGCGCTCTGAATGTGAAGTGCTTGTCCACTCCGTGCCACACCACCGGTCACATTTGCTACCATGTCACCGCGCAAGAGGGCAGTGGCAAGGGAGCCGTCTTCACAGGTGACACCCTTTTCCAGGGCGGATGCGGACGCTTCTTCGAGGGCACTCCCGAGGAAATGTACGAGGCACTGTGCACAAAGCTCTCCTCTTTGCCGGACACCACCAAGGTTTTCTGTGGCCACGAGTACACGCTGCAGAACATGAGCTTCGCCCGTCACGTGGAGCCCGACAATGAGGTCATCCAGCAGAGGATCGAGTGGGCCAAGCACCGGCGCGCCTCCCAGGATCCCACTGTTCCGTCCACCATTGGCGAGGAGAAGTCTTGGAACCCCTTTATGCGCGTGCACGAGGCCTCGGTGCAGAAGCACGCCGGCGGGGCCACCGATCCCATCGTCACCATGGGCAAGCTGCGCAAGGAAAAGGACACGTTCAAGGCCTAATCGGTTTTCTCGATCATTTCGAAACTTGTGATTTAATATTGGATTTTGATGGTTAATAAAATTAACGCTATATGTGTAGTGCAGATGATGGCTTTTTACGACCGACGAAATCCCAAAAATCGCAAAAGTATTTTGGAATGCAAATCAGCAAAACATTTGATCAATTTGTTGTATGAATGTATATATTTATTTCTTGGTCAATAGTTTTTTTTATTCTGGTTGAGCAATCCAATCCATACAGCCCAACTCATTGATAAGAATTTTTGGGGTCGCGAGAAAATAAATTAATTGATTTCGATACATTTCGATCCAACTATATTTATAGAGAAAAGTGAATAACATTTTTAAAAGTCTTTATCAAAATTCGTAATTGTTTGAATTGCACCGGTTTTTGTTGGGCGTTAGTATATTTTAAATTAATCAAAATCACCTTTGGTATTTTTGGCGACTTTTCGAAAACGAGCTGGCAACCCCGTTCTGCCATTCACACAAAAAATCGCGGCGTCCACCGAATGGAATTTTGAAATAAAAACTAGTTAACAGCACAGAGCGATGAACGCAAACAAACGCAGAAGTTCGGTGGGTTTTTCGAAAATGCAGCTAATAAGACGCACTCATGGTAAATCTACACTTCTTGCAGCTGCGCAAGGCGCCGACCAAGGAAGATGAGACGACCACAGCCTCCGCGATCAAACAACAAATCAAGCGACGCATCAGTTTCAGTGGCAAGAAATCCATCAGGTATGTACAGTATCGGAATCGAGTATCGCAAACGTCAATGCACACCGTCCATTCTATACATAGGGAATTCGTCAACACCAAGGAGACCAACAACTGGGACGACTCGTACGAGGTGTCGGAGAACCATGCTGAGGACAGCACGGCATCGAAATGCGGATCAAGAACAGCATCAGTTGCAAAGGTAGTCGAGTCTGCCGACAAGGAGAACATTCCCTTGAGCGGGGTCTGCGAGCGGGAGCGTGTCGACCTGTCCGTGAATCTCCAGAACAGCGTTGATATCACCCTGTTGCCCTGCGAAATGGTGGACAAATCCATAAAGACCACCTCTGTATCGTTTTGCTTATCCTCCGAGGAGCGAAAAGTGTTGCAAAGCAGTCTCAGGGACCACCAGCTTGTGGACAAGACCATGGATATGATGTCCGGATCTCTCGTAAACCGCATTCAAATCCCGTCAAGCGTTTGTGACGAATCCTCCTTCAAATTTCCACCCAAAGAGACAGAGAAGGGAGTACACACGCCAGCTGCCAAGGCTGTGAGTGACTCCTTCATGGACATCACGCCGTTAGGATTTACTGATCCTACTCCTGCTGCTCCTGCTAATGTTGCTCCCGCTCCTGTTTCCGCTCCAGCTCCTGCTGCAACTGTAAATCGTCCAAATCAGCGAAGTTTAATGGATCTGGAAGATGACAGCATTATGGGGGAGATGCGTGAGTTTACCAAAAACCAGAAAAAAACTCCGGCGCAGAAATCGCTTTTCATAGATATAGAGGAAACCAAGAATAAAACCCCACATGGAGCTGGAGATGCATCTCACCCATTGAATGGTAAGTGTTATCTAAATTAAATTCCTTACAAAAGTTTCCAATTAGCACGCTATCGGTTATTCCACTTTATTTCCCAGTTTCCAATGACCGAGATCGTTCGCCATCAAACTCATTTGAGAGCTTTAATAGCACCATGAACTTTACGAGAGATGAGTCCATGCTGATACCATTTGACATGATTTCGGGGAAAAACATTAGCAAAAAAATCAATTTCCGTCAACTCAACGAAGACCTAGAGGCGGGTAAGATCCAGATATTTCCAAATGGGCCAAAAACTCCGACGACAGATCGTAAGAACAAGAAAAATCGATTTTGGTGTGGACTGGAAGAGAAAGGAAGAGAGGATAGTAGTCCAAAGCAGGATATACGGAGCATAGTACCACGAGGAACGTTAAATTTCAGTGAGAACATGACCTTGTCGCCGACGAAAACAAGTCCAGTTCGAGAGGACAAGGAGAAACTGAAGGTGGTGGATGAGAAGCCAATGTATAGACTGTCCCAAGCGGATGAGGTGATGCTTAACAATACAAACTTCTTGGCTCATGCCAGACTAGGCGACGAAACTCAGTCGAGAAATACGTCAAAGAACTCGACGAGGAGGGAGACTACTTACGAAAACCCGGAATTGAATTTGGAATACCCTACGATGAGTCAGGACTTTGAACCCATTCCGAGTTCCAAGCCTCGTAAGACTGATTTCAAGGCTGAAGAAATGCATGTGAGTCAGATAGATTACCCTGCTATTCCTGAATTGAAAACTGTTCCCACCCGACGCACCTTGCATCTCAATGAATCCATGGATCATGAAGCTACAAAGTCTACGTACGTGAGAAAGGATATTTCGGTTACCACGCAGGTGACTATCTACGAAAAATCCACAACCAACGAACAGAACACCAACCAAAAACACACCTTCACTAAAACCAAACGCAGGGATACGCTTTTGATGCAGGAAAGCATGGAGGAAGACATCATTAGTCCTCTCAAGGATTTACATTTAAAGCCCAACGCAACAGGCCAATCCAAAGTGGACCATACGCTTTATTTAGCAGAACCACTTGACGAAACCACGGACTTAAGCCAAAGCAAAATGTTACCTAATAAAAATGTTTCCCCTAAAAATAACGAACTCAAAGCTAGGAGAACTATGCTAATAGAGGAACCCATGGAAGAGGAAACAAACAGTAAAATTGTTCACAATTCCAAAAGGAGGACTCTCCACCTTGCGGAACCTCTGGATGAGGAGGAAGTCATTTCAAACGAGACCATACCAATGAAAGTATACGCGGATCAAAAAATCAAATCCAAGGGTCGGCAAACTCTTCTGTTACAGGAGCCCATGGAAGAGGAAATATTTCATAATATGGAAGATCCACCTGAATGTGATTTGAAAAGAAACAAAATGGGACCTCTGGAATACAGTCAACTAAACCACGTTAAGAGTTTTACTTCGCTAAACAAATCCAAAGATAAATCCAGGCGAACCCTCCTGGTAGAAGAACCAATGGAGGTGGACCGGGAAGGTAACAGTAAAGAGCCGCAAATGTATAATACTGCCAAATCTGGAGAGGACCACGTACATAAGATAACCAAATCCAGACAAACTCTTCTTATGTCAGAACCTTTAGAGGAGGATATGTGTCCACTGCCAAAGAATAATTCAATAGTGACGCAAAAAACTATACATGAATCATCTGAGCAGCAGCGATCGAAATCGAGGCACACTCAATTATTCTCTGAGCCTATTGAAGAAGAACATATTCAAGAGCCCCTGCCAGCTGGAAGGGATAATGGTTCAGCTAGACAACAAAGATTCAAGCCAAGGCAAACACTCATCATGGCAGAACCCATTGAAGAAGATGTTGGAGAGCCGGGAGTTAAATCAAATGCGAATAGGGTGCATGCCAACATCACAGGTTCGTCGATTTCCAAAGCAAGGCACACGCTTTTGATGTCCGAACCAATTGAAGAAGATCTAAAGATCGAGCCGTTCAACGAAGAGAAAAGCAAGTATGCCAGCTCCAATAGGACCCTAAAATCGAGGCGGACCGTTTTGATGGCGGAACCGATACAAGAAGAGGGTAATAAATCTATCGCTGACAAAATAGGTGAATCTCATTACAAATCTAACCGCACGGAATTTACGAAAGAATCTTCTGACGAAATGGTATTCGAAAACGCTCGCCAGCCATCCAAACTTCGCCAAACTCTGCTGTTGGCAGAGCCTATACAGGAAGATATCTGCAATCAGTCTAAGGATCAGCCGAAGCCACACCCTGTATCTAAAGATAAGATCAGACGGGAGCACTCAAGACGCCACACGCTTATTAATGCTGAACCCATTGAAGAGGATTTGGACTTATGCAAACCGCTGGAAAATTTAAAGGAGTCATCTTTAAGTGCCAGAATTATTCGGTCATTCGCCGAACCCATTGAAAATGCTATATTTTCTATTACTGATCAAATATCTAAACATCAATTTTTGGAATCTACTCAAACTCTTCCCAAAGCAGAGCGTATAAAAAAAGATTCGGAACCCCTAAACCAACTCCAGCAGAAACCGAGAAACACCCTTATCTCGCATGAAACTATTCAAGAGGATCTGAGAGCTGGAGAGAAAAACACTTCGGTTGGACCTCTGAGATCCACATACAGACATACCCTTATCATGGCAGAGCCCATCGAAGAAGATACAAGTATCCACAGTGTGACCAAACAAAATATGACTGCCAAAACAAGACAAACCTTGCATATACCGGTGCCCATTGAGGAGGATTATAGTCCAAGCCAACATAAGGAATCTGAAACGGTCAAGGGCAGAACTACGCTGTTTTCTTCAGAGTCCATAAAAGATGCATCCGTACAACATGCTGGATTTTCTAAAAAGGAATCGATGGGCTCGAAGGTTTCAGCGGAGCCCATCACTGCTGATTTGGTTTCCAAAAGGCCAGAGGTGTCACGACCCGGGGAAGTGACTTTACCCAAACAGAGCCAGGTTCCTGCTGCTTCGTCATCCAGAAGACATACATTACTCTTATCAGAACCCATGGAAGAGGATGTGGAGATTTTTGGCCAAAACTACCACACAAGTGAGCGACAAATTTCCGAAAAACCAGACGGAAACATCCATTTACCAAACAAGTCCATGCAAAAGGATGAGATAGGCACTTCTCCCAGTGCTAGGACCTATCAATCTATGGCTATGTCTGAATCGATGGAGTTCCAAAGTCCGCCCTGCAGGTCAAGGGGCCCGGACTTTAATGCAATGACCCCGGGAATGTCCTTGACTGAATTTATGGATCAGGAGGAGATATGCAAGACGCCGATTCACAAAAGAGTTCTCATGACGTCTCATCGGAAAAAAATGTCCATTAACCAACCAGTGGCGATAGACCTTGAGGCAGATGCCTGCGGCGTTGGAACTCCAAAAACTATCTTCCAACTAAAGCGCCTACACACGCATCTCACGCCCAATCTTCCGGAGTCCAAGAAACGACACACGCCTTTGCTTACGAATAGCAACACGGATACCGAAATGAAGGATAATCAGGAAGGTGCTTGGGGGACGACAAACATTCAGCTGAATACGCAGAACAATAAATTACGCAGGACCTTCACAGTGGACCAGTTGGATGCGTCGGTGCAGACAGTAAGGGACTATAATCCTGTAGTGACTGAGTTTAAAAAACAGGGCAATCTTAATGTGCTGGTGCTGCCACGAAAGTCGGCATATGACGTGGATCTAGAGGAGAGACCCCAAACTATTTCCGATGTGACCAATTACTTCCAGGAGCAAAAGGAGGAGCAGGGCAAGTCTAGCGATAGAGAGAGCGGCAGCTCCAACGATAGAACCTTCAAGAGCTACGCCGCAACGAACTCAAAATTCATCAATCTGACCGGGAACACCACCATCTTTGCAGCCGGAGGAGGTTTCGACGGTAAGGACCAGCCCCTCCAGATAGACAACGAGCAACTAAGTCTGGTTTCCACGCTGGCGGAGGAAACAGACGATGATTACGACGAGGAGGAGGATCAGGAGCAAGAAAACCATCACTTAAAATCTGAAATCTGTGAGGGTCAGCTGAATCCAATGGTAAAAGCTGGCAGCGAAGGCTCCTGCAGGAAGTGCACGAATTGCAATCAAACTTTTAGCGAAACGAGGCTTAGTAGCGATTCATTTGTCCTGCCACCTCAGAAATTGTGGGACTTTTCGAAGCAACAGCAACGGTTGCGCAATTTAAGACAGAAACCGTCTTGGAAGGATGTGAAAAGTTACTGGGAAATCGAGGAGGTGGCTCGGCTGTCCATGAATCAGGACTCTGACGATTCAATAGAGCAGACCATGGTGGAGGAGGAGCCAACCAAGTGGAACAAGGCGGCGCTTCTAGAAATGTGCAAGATGTAAGAACCGAATGAACTTGCAATCTTTAAATATTTCTTCAACATTTACTTTTTTCCTTTAACAGTCGAACTGCTCAACTGAAGGCCATAGCCAAGCCGCCGGAATCTTTTTTTATAAGACTCAAACGTTTGCTGGTCGAGCAGCAGCCCAACTGGATATTCGACTACCAACGTAAAGTGTCCAAGCAATTGATATTTTACCACCGACAGCTGACCACGTTCCGAATCGTGGTGAACTACCAAATCGAAGACTTGGTGGATGAGACGACCATTAGCGTGTGTTCCATTGAACTAGACAATGAGGTGCACACTCCAAAGGAACAATGGTCATCGCGTGAACACTTTTTAAACTTCCACTTAAGTCTCAGGCTGCCCCTGAATCCTGGTGACGAGATAGATGGCAGTGATGAGGCAGCTTTTTTAAAATTTCTCAACGGCATTGATCGGAGAATTGCAGAGGTCAAGCAAAAGTTTCACAAAGTTTTAACCCTTCTAGCGCAGAAGAGGGCGATGCTTCTAAGGTAAGTTTTTCTTCCAGTGGTTTTTCAATACAGTATTAATTTAATTGCTTCCTTTTTAGAGAAGCAAATCGAACTATTGTCAGAAAGGTAGTACGAAAATGCATCGAGCAGGAACCCGTCGTGCGTCTCGAGAAGATTAGTTTCCTTATTGAAATTGGCAATATTGAGGACGTTTCCTTCGCGGACATCCTACGCCCTGAACTGCATCTCTTCAATGAAAACATTCAGTATCTGCCAAAGGGAATTCCATTTCTGGAAGCCTTTCTTACCGATCCGGAGCAGTACCTTAGGAAATAAATCTGTATATTAGAGTGTAAAATGATTATGTATAATAAGTATTAAATAAAAATACATGCATTTGTCTGCGTTTTTTAACAAATTAAATTTGAAAGTGAAAAGTAAAAGCAAATACGATTTCCACTCAAATTGAGTTAAATTTTATAAGCAAACAGCTAGGACTTCGTTGTAGGTCTTTTGAAAGTAGAGCAGTAAATAAAATAAAGAGTAGGGAAGGATTTAGTTTGAATTTAAGTTTACTCGCTTCTCGTACTCGTTTACAATAATTAAAATAATAATAAAACTTAAAAATAATTTAGTTTCCTCTTGCGTGGCTGCTGAAAATTCGTTTCGTTCATCCGGATCACTTGGAAGCTGGAACTAGTTGAGTGCGTGTTTGCTTGCATTTGCTTTGTTTATGTTTATTTCACGAAGACAACACAGACATATTAAGATCCAAAATATATATATGTTTTATATATATATATATATTTATATATATATGTATGTTATGTATTTAGGGTTTGTGTTTTGAGTGGTTTCGCGGCTTGCTGCCCGCTGGTTTCTTAGCCAGATGAAGATGGATGCGTGTGAGTATGTGTGGTGTTCCTTGTTTTGTGTAAGTGTGTGTGACGTCATTCGAGGGTGGAGAGAGGGTGGCTTAGACGCGTGACAACTGCTGCAGCAGATTGCACGGCCAGAACGCCTCGATGCGCTCCTTGAGCAGCTGAAACGGATACGAAATCCAGGTAAGTACGGTCTGTGCCAAATGACCCATGGGCTCCGGATACTGGTGGGTGGCCAAGGCCAGCAGGGCGGTAATGGAGCACAGTCCCGCCGTGAACAGGATGAAGAAGGGCAGCTCCTTCTTGGGATAAACAGACACCTCGTGGAACGCCGGCAGCAGTTCGCGATCCGCGCACTCTGTGCACGTGGGATATGGATAGAAGAGGTGGCCGCGCTCCAGCGGATACGGCAGCATGCGAAACGTGCCCTCCCAGGTGCAGTGCAGCAGATTCAGGGCCCCCTCCACCTGCTTCCAGTGCTTTAGGTGGAAGAACGCATAGGCCAATGCCTCTGAATCGCCCCGCTTCAAAATGTGCTCTGGCGGTAGAATAAGTCGCTTCGTCTCCAGGAGATACTTGGGCACATGCGGATTGAACTCCACCGCCCGATGAATGGCCTCGACGGCGCTCATTTCTGCAGGACTTAACCCTCGCTTGGATGCAATGTCTGGCGAAAACTTATCGGCCACGGCACGCGCCTTCAGCAGAGCAGCTGTATAGCAGATGGTCGCCGATTTTGGCAGCGAAATGTCATCGTACTTGGCCAGAATGGCATGGCAATCGGCGTAGGCCTGCATCTCCAGCAGCGTTTCGATTAGATTCTCGTGGATGTTTAGTACACTCATGATCGAGGGTATCTCCTTGGTGAGATCGCGAAACATCTTAGCCGCCTCCTTCAGCTTCCCTAGCTTGCGGGCGCACATGGCAAGACGTCGCTTGATGTAGATCAAAACATTGGTGTCCCGCCGATGCATTCCATCCGCTATGGCGCCCTGGTGTTGGGTGGCCTGCGACTTGCGGTAGTTTATCTCGGCCACTTTTAGGGCTGTCTTCAGGATCTTCTCCGCCTCCATAATGGTCATGGCTTCCTCTTCGGCTAGCAGTATATAGGCAGGCGCACATTCCGCATTGATTTCCAGAGCACTGTGAGCGGACTTAATGCGCTGCATGGGATTGCGTTCGCGCCAGGCCGTCTGCATGATTTCATACTCTTCCTTGCGGGCATCGCCCTCGCAGGTGAAAAAGGTCTGATGGTCCTGGGCACTTAAGTTCATATCGTAGTAGGTCAACGGCTCCTTGCTGGTGGCCCAAAAGAATCTCTGGTACTCGGCGCCGCGAAAGAGATTGAGGGGATTCCGCCAGACCTTACACTCGGGCATTTGGGTGCCCGTAGTTGTGGTGGCGCTACCACTGCCTGAGGCTCCTGTTCCTCCTGATCCTCCACCGCCTGCTCCCCCATTGCTACTGCTACTGGAGCCACTGCTGCTGCTGCTGCCACTGCCATTGCTCGACTCTGATTGCCCATCGCTGCCATTTATCCAGGGGCTTATGTGGTTGATGGAGACTTGCTCTGCGTAACAGGAATAGTGAAGTTAGAACCAAAGTAAGCGAAGGAAGGGGAACCCCACTACTCACCTATAAAAGAAGTGCCATACTTCCGGAAATACCACCATTCAAATATCAGGATCAGGCCCGAAATCAGGCTGGAGGTCCCTGTGAGCGCCACGTAGAACTTGGGCGTCAGAGTGCTGAGAAACATGGACGAATCCCACATCCTGCTGCCTGCTGTCCCCTGCCTGCGAAGTTCTGTATTCGACGCTCGTTTAGCTTTAGCCCCAGCTCCGTCCGGACTTTTGTTGCTCGCCGGGATTAGCTTGTGACTGGGGGTTTGCGGATACTCTGTGCTCTGGCACTGACCACCGCCGAAGGGTTGGATCAATTAACGGTTGCCTTTCCTGGCGCTATCCTTGCGCGAATCCTTGCTGCAGATGAGACTTTTTTCCATGAAGTATTCGAAAGGGGGTGAGCGGGGGGTAAATACCAACGCAACGTGACCGTTTTTCGTCGTCTTCGAAATGCCGCCATGAATAAGGGTCACTCTGAAAAGTTCTGGCGGGAAAACATCCTCGCTGTTATTTCAACTTATTTCTGGAAATATTCCAAGCTTGTAGCTAAACTCTTTTGCAAGCCCATAAGATATGCATATTTCTTACTGCTATATATTCATCTATTCAATATAACAATTAATATTTATTTTAATAGTTTAGTTTCGGATGCTTTACAGATTTGGATAATTATTTCTTAAGATAGATTCGTGCTTTGGCCTGAGTCCGATAACAAATTTTGAAAAACAGGGTTATTTGCAATATTTAAGAGGATTACATTCTATAACTTAATTTATTAAAATTTAAATCTCGAGCCATCTTCGTTTTCCGATAGTTTCCCCCCTATCGATAAATTCACCTGCGCACCACTAAAAAAAATGGCCGCTGTGCTGCAAGTGCATTTTTTTTTATATTAGAACAATCCGATCGAAACGAGCACGCGAAGCCCTTAACTTGGAGCTCCTGTTGAACGGAAAGCCATCAGAGGGGCAGTGGAATCATGGATCAGGTGACGGATACTGCAGCGACAACACCGGAGCCAATCCAGATGGAGAAACCACCACAAGAAGTCGAAAAATCGGAGAATCTAGAACCAAAAACAGCGGCGTTGAAATCGCTTTCAGAAGGTGCGGGTCCCACTGATTTGGAGAATGAGCTGGCCAATCTCAACGGATCAGAAGAGGGACCTGGCTTGGACGAGCTGAGCACGCTAGAGCAGGAGATAGCTAAGCTGCATAACATTCGACCACCGGATGCGGCATCCGATGCTGCAGAATCCGTCACTCCAAGTGGCGGAGCAGACAATATTAGCTTAAAGGCCCGCCCGGCCCCAAAAGAAATTAAAAGTGGGTCTCCAATGATCAAAGATGGCCACGATGCCTCAGGCAATGGTCAGTCTAGCGAATCCCCCTTGGAAGATGTAGATCTTATTGCACTGCTCAAGGGTACGGACACAAGTCATGGCCAGCCTACCGGCGAGGAAAAGTGCGCGTTGGAGAAGGCTCTTTCCGATCTCGACGGCGTTGGAGAAGACGTGGATGTAGGTGTTACCATCGAGGGCGAAGGGCAGTTCGAAATCATGGAAATTGACGACGACGAGGGGGAGTCATCCAGTCGAAAAGCCAGTCCCAAGGTACCTGTGTCCAAGTCCATCAAATCTAACTCCTTGACTTCTATTTCCAAGCATAAGCTTTCCCCGGAACAAGCCAGAGCTGTAGCTTTGGAGCAGATGGCCGGTCTCAAGCCCAAGTCGCGTCGTAAGGAGCCACCTCCACCGCCTCCTGTGGTCAAGCCAATAGATATCGTCAGCTCATTGAACGATGATTGGGACGACTACGATTCTGAGGAAGACAAATCGTCTTCCGCGTTGGTGACAGAAGTGATAACTCTTCATCCAGCGCAAGTAGTCACTAAAAAGCCACCACTGCCTGTGAAAAAGGCGACATCCCCAATTAAGCGCAACTCGAACTCGCCCATTTTGCTAAACAACAAGATCAGCGGGGTAAAAGTAATGTTAAAGACCGTGAGCCAAAAGCAACTGGCAGCCTCATTAAGTCCAGCAGGGGAGAAACTCAAGCCAACAGTCGTTGTGTCACCTCCTAAGGAAATTGAAGAGCCTACCACGGGTACAGTAACTTCGGAATTTAGAAAATCATTGTTAATAAATTCCATTTTTAGGGTTCAAGCGCATGCGTGTAATTAAAAGGAAGATAATCTGGGATCCCGACGTACCGGAGACAAAGAAATCATATGCGCAGTATGCTAGCACGAAGCCAACTGGCAAGGCGCCATCTCCAGCACCCCCTTCACCAAAAACAACTGTCAAAAGCATTTCTCCCACCACGACGACTAAGAAGGAGGTGGCGCCCAAAAAACGGTCAGCTACGCCCACTGCTCGGTCCGCTAAAGCTGGAACGCCGATCGGAGGAACAGAGCGGGGTCCCTCGCCCGTCAAACGACGCGCGCAAACTCCGAACATAGGTCTAGCCAATGGAGGAACCCAAAAAAAGAAAAAGGTGTCTGAGATCGATCGCCTGATGGGCGACGAGGGCGCTGCCAATATGATTCATGCAGTGGAGCATGAACAGCGGGAGTTGAGTGGTGGTGAGGTGTCCAATAAGCCGCTGATGCGCAAACGAGCCATGACCATAACCGGAAGGGTAAGTACCTCTGCTATAGACTCAAAATACCTAAATATTATCGGATATTTATGAATCCCTACACAAGAACCAGGCAGCCCGAGTTGCAGTGGAACCTACACCGCCCAAAAAAGAGTTGGCTCATTCGGCCAACAAACGAACGCCTTCTGCAACTGATTCCGTTTTTACTAAGACTACCGCCAACACTTCTGCCAGTAAGCCTCGCGCCTCGGACTCGTGGGACTATGTTTACAAACAGCGCGCCAGCGAGGAATCGATGATCATGAGAAGGCGCTCCAATAGCTCCTACTCCAGCAACGCCTCCGTCAGCCGAAATTCACTGGACAATAAACCCGGAGCAGCCAATCTGTCTGATGATGCAGGCGAGGGCTCTGATCCGTCCTTTAAGTTTGTAAAGCCCGTAAGCAAGTCAAACCAAAGGGGAGGTGAAGATACCTCCTCGCATACGCTGGCTAATGATATGAAGGCGAACAACGGTAGTGAACTGGTGTGTCTGCGCAAGGTTAACAAAGTTGCTCACTTGGTCATCCACATGGAAAGAGGAAAATTCGGCCATACCTACAGTAGGCAGCTGCTGGAGCAATTGAACGACACACTGTCCACTGTTGCCCGCAAAGGAGAATTCAACACAGTGCTGCTTACCGTTGAGGGTCCACAATTTTGTCAGGGCATCGATTGCCAGGAACTGATTCAGGGTTCTTTGGATAAGCGAAAGGATAGCGCCAGTCAATTGGCCGCAGCCCTAAAGTAAGTATTTGGTATGAACCTTTGGATAAACGATTATTAACGAAATCATTTCATTTTAGGAGCTATCTACGCACTCTGGCAACATTTCCCAAACCCTTGGTGGCGGGCATTGTTGGCAGCCTCGTTAATTTGGGCGTTATGCAGCTTCCATTTGCCGACTATGTGGTGGCATCTGATGATTGTTGCTTTGAGACTAACTATGCCAAATTGGGTCAGCTGCCCGAGGGGTATGCTCTGTGGCATGGTCACCAAAAGGTGTCCAGTGAAGTGGTAAGTACTGATAATCCTTTATAAAGCGTATTTAAAGCTGATCTCATTTAACCCCCAGCACACGCGTTTGTTTCTTCTGGGTGAAAGACTGTTCGCAACGGAACTTTTGGGGTCACATAGTTTCGTTGACAAGATCTGCAAGGCCCGCAACGTCAATGAAGAGGCTCTGGCTATTGCCAAAAAGATATCCACTAGCTCAGCGGAGGTAAGCCCCTACTTCGAGTGTTTTCTAGCCATTAACCAATATCAAAAATCCCACAGATGTATCGCACGCTGAAGAAAGTCAACCACTCCGCCATCAATGCTACGAAATTCCCGCGTCTGGATGAGGAACTGAAGGTTATAGGCGAGCAATGGGTTACTGCCAATTGCTTGGCTAATTTCAAAAGCTATATTAACGACGTTGATTTCTAGACCATAGATTTATAATTACCTTTTACCATATGGGAATGGTAGAGATATTCATACAAACCATTTAAAATGTAATTCATACTTTTAGTTGAGTCCCTTTAGGAGTTTTATTCTGGACCATGAGACTATCGCCCTAAGAATTTTTGTACTCCTACCCATTAACACACGTGTAAAATGATGTATCCTATTGTAAAGTACGAACGCTGTGTAAATTGTAAGAAATTCGGAGGCAGGAGTTATATCCTGTTCTATTATAGTTTGGAAGAAACACTTGATTAAAGATAAATTTATGAATGTTGGAAAGTTTACGAATCCTGAACGCATCCCCAAATAAAATTACCTCTTACGCGTTTTCATTTTTAAAGTTTCCTATTTTTTTGTAATCCGAAATTCTCAAGCCATGAATTTTAAGGCCCCTTGCAATATATCTTGTGTAATATTAAAAACTGTTAAACATAAAAAGTAAAATAAGAGAAAGTGCTCCCACAAAAGGAAGTTATCAATTGAAATCTATTTGTAGACTGATTTATTATGGGTGGCTAGAAACGGTTTTATTAACTAGTTTAAACTTTTATTTATGTTCGACAGCACGCTTGCGGCTGGCTAAATGCACTAAACTCAACTCAGTTCCTGGTAGCTATTTGAATGACCACCTAGTTGTGCTTGTGGACCTCGAAGTAGGCGGGAAGCTCTGCTTGGAGGCGCAATAAACGCACGTAGGTCAGCAGTTTCCATTCACTCAGCGGCTGATCCTCGGGATGCACAAAAGTGGACATGTATGTGACTAGCTCCTGTGACCCGTCTTGGTCGAGATCTGCAACAAGCATCGAGTGGTCCTGGTTGTTCAGATCCGGTTGGCACACCGCCTCCTTGCGGTCGTGGCGACAAAACTGGACGATGTTGCTTTGCGAGGTGTTCTCAATGTGGGTATCTGCCCCCACGAAAACCACTAGTAGCACGGTCTCTGTAATCATGTTCATTTTGTAGCTTCCGCCGGGAGATATTCCACCCGATTTGGTCAGGTTTTTAGTTGGAGATGGCACCCCGAATGTTTCCCTCTTCTGCTTCAAGTGCTCAAATACATCGAACTCATGGTGAGGTGGTTGAAACTCGAGATCTTTTGCATCCGTGCTCCTTCTTAGACGTTGGTGCTGCTGTTGTTTTTTTGATTGAGCCTGTGACTTTTCTTTATCCTTGATGGCATTCATGTTCTTGGTATGATTGTTGCTGCCACTCTTCTGCACATTGTTGCTGTTACTGGAGGCGGAGGTCTGTTTGGAAGGCTTAATCAGGTCATGCCACTTCCAGAACTTCATCACGAAGCCAGACATTTGCGACTTGGTATTCTTAAAGTGCCATTGGGCGGGCGTCATGCCGTACATTCCGCTCTTGATGAAGTTTTCCACCACATGGGGTTTGCCATCGCGGACTTCACTTAGGACAAAGGTAACATTGCAATTCTCGGGGCAGCGTCCTCGGTTTTCCACCACGAGCTCACGTCCACTTAGAGAATATATGTTTCTCTGGGCATCCAGCTCACGCCGCTGGCCATGGTTCCTGTGCTGCGAGATCTTTGAGGTGCCTAGTCGTTGGCCTACAATCGATTTGTTGGTGATCAGAGCATACAGCTCGGCCAGACTCTTAGAACGCTGCTGCTCCGTGCCATTGCCCCGCTGACAGGTGAAGCTCACGTTGCCCGCCTCGAGCTTCATGTTGCTTAGAGTGTCGCAGTCGTGGATGGTGAAGCCATCGCCAATAGGTACTCCTTTTCTGCCCGAAAGCATGCGGAGCACATTGCGTGCCTCTAGTTTTTCCGGGGATTCATGTTTGAGCTGGGCAAGCGATTTAGTACGCTGTACAAGTGACAAGCTAGTCACGAGCAGGAGGTCCAGCACTCCATCTGCATCTAGATCAGGCAGGATGACGGGGAAATCATAGGCATCCACCTTTCGTGCTGATCGCTCCTTAAACCACCACAGCCATTCACCAGAGACGGGATGAATGGCTCCAAGTTCGCCATATTCATCGAGCACTAAACAAGCAGGTTTCCCATTGCCATCTATGTCTATGAGGGTACAGTCGAGGGCCACAGGTTCATCAACCATCTCCACAAACCAAGCCACTGCTCCCGAGGAACCAATCAAACAGATGATGCCATTACGCCGCTCGTTACCTGGACGGAACTCCGGGAAGAAGGCATCACCACGGTACATGAATATCAGGTTGTTCTCCCAGGCTCTTAGACCACCGACCACATTAACTCCTCCCTTAAGCTCCGCCTTTGTGTAGTTATTGAACCAGTTGTGGGTCTTTATCCGGTCTCCGATGGCTCGACAGGATCCACTGCCATCGGGATTACCGCAGGGTATCAGCCATACAAAGGATACGATGGCAATGAAGTACAGAGGTAGGCAACCTATAAAGCAGCATTTTCTTGCCGGTGACATGGGGCTCCTCTTGGACAGGTCCTCACCGGTCTGATCATGGTCCCCCAAGATGGCTACATTATCTGCATTCACATCGAAATCGCTGTTAAAGTGGGACAACTCCGAGCCAACTCCACCATTATCGCTCAACATGACGGAACGGAAGGTATTCTGCATGTTAGTAGCGTAGGTACTGCCCTCCAGTTGGAATTTCTGGGTACTCCCGGTTGGATTTCGAGTCACAATCCTGGTGGCCGTAGGTGATGCTCGCGTATGTGGTGATTTCAGGGCTAGTGTGTTCGGCGGGATGCGTATCCTTTGTGGTTGGAGATGCTCCGGATTAGGCTGATGAGCTTGAGCTTGCTGAATATTCTGTTGCAGTTTTTGTCGATGATTGGCGGCGTTGTGGATCTCAATTTCCTCGTCCGATTCGGAATCGCTCATTGCCTGACTTAGTGGAGCATAGATGCCCTGGTGGCCAGCGGGGGGCAGTAATTCGGAGTGCAGCATTTTGGCTGTAAAAAATTAAAAAGAAATCCGGAAAAATCAATACCAACCGGCCAATAGGCCGAAATAGAAGGAAATCGCAAGTAAACACACCTCCGTTGATTGGCTCAAACAGGCTTTGACATCTAACATCCACATAGCTACTGCTTTTGATCTTTATTGGATTAGGCGAAACATTAATTCCAGCGAACGAGAACACCCTTCGAAAAAGCTTTTCTTTCCGTAATTTAAATTCGGCCGATTTTTATGCACAACAGCTGTTATCGATAAACAGTGTTGCGCAAAGTGAAACCTATCGATATGAGCGTGACTAAATGAGACGCTCACCACTACATGCAGCCCAAAAAAAACAACAACGTTTTACGTGCGTGAAAATTGGTTAAGTTTTTATAAAAAAAACGTAGTAAACTGATTTTTTGACAGTTATCGAACAATCCATATGCTGCGGGGGAGTGCGGGGCTAAGGGCTTTAATCAGCAGGACAGTCCAAAAAGGTCCGCAAACGTGAATTTTGCGAAAGTGAAAACGGGGTTGTGCTGTGTGTGTGTGGAAAACGGAACAAAACGGTGCCAAAAACGCAAGGAAAAGCTGCAAAAGCGGTGCACGGCATACGGGTTGATAAAGCAGAAGATTTGGACAAACGCGGCAGCCAAAGATATAGGCAAGAAATCTGTGCTTTTAAGCGATTTGCCAGCAATACAAATTACCAACATCCAGTAACCACCCACACAAACATATTGTGTACACAATATATACATACATACGTATATTTGCGTAGTGCGGCGCTCGAAAAGCAGTTTCCCATCACCATCTCATCATCACCGCCATTCATTGTAAACCCACTCCGGAATCCATCCCACCTCTGCCGTACCACATGTCCTACATGATGGCCAAAACGCTGGAGGAGCAGAGCCTGCGGGAGTGCGAACACTACATCCAGACCCACGGAATCCAGCGAGTCCTCAAGGACTGCATCGTCCAGCTGTGCGTCTGCAGACCCGAGAATCCCGTGCAGTTCCTGCGACAGTACTTCCAGAAACTCGAGAGGGTGAGTCCCAAATTCAATTCAGATTTTGACTGGATACGTATCATATTGGTAGATAAAATAAAAGTAGAAATTTGATCAGACATAAACCTTTATTTCCAAATACTATATTAGCTTATCGTTGCCTCGAGGATCAAAGCTTGGGCCTTCCTGGTTTTGTCTAAGATTCTTTGCCGCCGATTCACTTAGCATCCCTTTCGAGTGGGAACACTGGAGGTTCTTCAAGTCCTTCGATTCTAGCAACGCCTATAAGAATTTTCTGGGAAATTGTCTGCTTTCTGATCTCAATAAGAATGGCCGAAAAGGGGAGGGGGGTATAGGTGTGGGAGATAGGACCTCCGATTACATCGGGCACTTGGGTTTGGACCTCTGGGGCTTAGGACACCTTGGCTTCGGCTTGGCGCACACCTTCCTGGGGCGGGGACATGCTTTCCGGGGACGGGCGCACTTTGGCTTCGGCTTGGCGCAACTCCGACGGGGCTTCGAGCATTTGGGCCGCGGTTTGGCGCAACTCTTCTTCATCCTAGGCTTTGAACACTTGTTTTCCCTCTTTCTAGGAGTGCATCCATAGCCTTTGGTGGCGGAGGCACCGAAGAAAGTGTCTGTGGGGCCACATTCAGGTACCAGTTTGTGTTCGCTGTCCCTAGAGCTGGAAAGGCTACTCCCGCTTTTGGACATTACCAAATCGGATTTAATATGAAAAGTTTCAATTGGTTCCTGTGGAAGTGCATTACGAGTCGATAGTATAAAAAAGATTTGATTTCACAACTACAGCTTACCGTAGAGTACTGGCATCGATGACGGAATGACATTTCGTTCCATCGTGTTTCGGCTGCCCGTTCTATCTGGTGATCCGTGTAATAATCTCCGTAGCGCTTCTTAAAGTCCCTCAGAAAATGAACATAGCCCGACGACAACGAGTTTTCGTTGTCTTCTCCCTCTTGGCAATCTTCATATTCTTCGGAGGTTACGGATTTCACCCATTTAATATCATCAATTGATTCTTTTGAGGATTTCACTGTTTTCGAAGTTCCCACCACCGGCTTACTATCCTTGAATTCCAGACTGCTCATTTTGTTAATTATCAATGGCCAAACCTTTTATCGAAACTTAAACTTTTCACAAACAAATTTGTTAATCAAAATTCTTAGAAAAATACATATATAAAAAACTGTACTTAATTTTATCAGATTATTTAAAAAAATACTTGTTTCTTGTTCGAAAGAATTCAACAAACTGATTGTATGCTGGTTTCAGCTCGTGATCGTGAAAATTTGTTTTGAATGGAGGGTTGTCAGCTGCTATGATCATGAATTTTGAGCTTCCTAAAAAATAAACACCTCTTTCAAACTAAGCTGGCTATTTTATAAGTAAATTTCCTAGATCTACTCCATAATTTCTTCCTGCTTGGGAACTCGAGAACTATAAAAGCTATGTATATGTAGTAGACGCAGCGCAAATTAGTTTCAGAACGTTGACACGCCCACTCTAACGCCCACAAACGGACCAAAACTGGCAAGCCCAGTTAACGTTATCCCTTGTTTTTAAACTAGTACCTTCAATTCAAAAACTTGAAGTGTACCTTTATAGCTTTGATAATGAATAAATATTTTTCCAAAAGTAGTGCCAAATATAATATTATAATGTTAACTAAAAATGAAGAAGTACTGGAAATTCTGGAGATTCTGGTGATGAAAGGTCTTTAAATTATCCAGTGCGACTAGGATCCTGTCCGGGGTTTCAACCCCTTGGAAAGCAACAAGCGGCATATCGCTGGTCATTTGGTTGCCGCTTAAACGAAAATCAATACATCATGGGGTCTATTTTCGAGCGGAGTGTTAAAAAAACCCGTCTGTATGCGGATTTCAGAGCACGGAGCATCCGTATTTTTGGCTTCCTCCTTCGCAGAACTGCATTCTCTCCGTTCATTGGAAAGCTTTAAAGTTTATTTTGTGAGGCAGGCTGCAGCAAAAGTTTGCAATGCTGCAATGTAAATAGAGCAGCGCACCTGTGGAGGACCTTTCCACATCGTTCTGTTCCTCCTCTCACTTCACCCCTTTCTCTCCCGACTTTGATTTGAGTACGCCTGTATGTGTGTCGTACTCTCTGGGGCAAGTTGCCTGTTGAATGCCGGACCCGCTGTCAGTTGGATTAGCATCCTGTCGCCGTGCAGAAGCATCCTGCTTCCTCCTAGTTCACTCCGCTCGTTTGTTTTTTGTTTTGCCTCGCTGCGCTATGGGCAACCAGTTGAGTGTAAACAGCATCCAGGATGCGGTCATCGATCGCTTCCGCTCGGTGGCTTTGACCACCGATGCCAACGGCACCATGCGCATCCGTTCGTTCTCGGAGGGCGTGGTGAACACCACCCACCATCATCATCAGCTTCAACAGAATCAGCAGCAGAGTCCTCATTGCAGTGGACGTGGCGGACGCATTCTGCGCGAAAGTAGCATCGATGGCGGGGTGGCCATGTTTGATGCTCTGCTCCGTGATGATCATGAACACCGGCTGAGTTTGGATGCAGTGCATCGCATGCGGCATGTTCGCACCTCCTGCACCACAATTCCAGAGGAGGATGCCATCAGCGATCGTAGTCTGCAGATTCACCTCTCTACTCTTGCCCGCGAACGTGAACAGGAACTTGAGCTTGAGCGCCAACGAGAACGCGAAGTAAGTTGGAAAGTCGGAAAAGTTTTCAATAGCGGAAAACGGGTGGGAATCACTGCGAATCGGTGCGGAAAAGCTTTTGGCGGAAATAGATTTAAAGTGTGGCAGTGTGGGAGTGTGCGCATAGTAGAAAGCTTTGATTTCAATTTAAATTGGTGTCTTGCTGATTCGATTTGTTACTGCAAATCAGTCGTTAGTTCTAGCAAGTTAGTAAAAGCAAGCAGTAATTTATAGTATTTATTCCAGAAGCACTTAGTACTTAGAAGGCACTTAAGAAAGTATGCTGTATTTTAAGGCTAATGATTTATCATCACAAAATTGCACTTATTGTCAACATTTCGTGTTGGACAATATTTTATTAACTTGTGCTTCTAATCTTGTTCAAATATTTAATATTTTTTGCCTGTTATCTGTAAAATTTCTTTTTTATATTTCAAAACATATTTTTTTAACGTATTTTATCTGAAGTAAAATAACTAACTGAAGATAATCCTCTACAAAAACAAAATTTGGTACAATCTGTTTGAACATTCTTTACTTGTCTTTTGCAAAAATTATACATTGGAAAAGTTTAGTGCTGTAAATTAAAAAATATCGTAACCTGAACTATATACACGTTTATAGAAAACGTATTTCAAAAGAGTATTACTGCTTACCTGCCACTCGAACAGCTTTTTGTCAGCAAATGTCGAGTTTGCACTTGAAACTCGAAGGGAAGGCTAACGAAATCAAAGCGCTTCCTTCGCTTTTTCCTTAGTACCTTTGCCCTCTTCTCCCGAGAAAGCTTTTCCCTTCGCCAGGACTTGCGTCACAACTGCGAGTGTATGTGTGAGTGGGTGGGCGGGTGTGCGAAAAACTTTACTTTTTGGCCAGTCGTATATGTATATAATTGTGTATATATAGAGAGGTTCCCTTTGCTGTGCGTGTTGGTGAAGGTCATCCTGTCGTCGTCGAGATTGTGTTTGTGTCTGTGGCTGCTAGAGTTTGCTTTCGTCCTTTCGTTTGTCTCAGTCACTTTTTGGCCACCGTCAGTTGCCCATCGTCGTCCCCAATTTTGGTTATTTCGCCAATTTATCTGCTCAATTTACAAGTTACCATTCACCTTTTGCGGTCGTTACTTTTTCGACTTTCTTGCCTGATTGATGGCCACGCGAATTCCGGGGCTCCGATCATCGAATTGTCCGGTTTAACGGCCGTGTTTATGCCACTTTTACGGCTGTCATCGCTCCGTTTGCGCTGTTTACGCCGGCTTCTGATTAACAGCGGAATCGTGCCGAAAACTACGCCGGATACTTTGTCCCCGTGTCCGCCGAATTGGGCCATAAAGTAAAGACAAACAACAATCAATTGTGTTGGAAAGGTCGGAAAAAGTGCCAAACCGGAAGTGAAAGGAACTCCACCAGCAAAATGGTGGGTAAAACTCGAAGTGTTAAAACGGTTAGCTTAGTAAATATTTTGGTTAGGATTGGTTTTTATAGGGATGTAGTATCTTTAATCTTTAGCATACAAAAATGCAATAACGCCATTCTTTAATTTTTCTGTTATCCACTTGAATAAAATGCAATACTCTTTTTAAGATATTTCTTAAAATTACAAGTTTATAATAATTATAATTATATAAGTTTATACTTGTATTGATGTCTGTTTAATGAATTACCATACAAATTGTATAATTGGGAATACAATTTGTTAGCCTCGGCTAAATGTTTCTCTCATGTCATATAAATAGGGTCTTACGGAAAACCAAATGTACATTATACAAATTTTTAATATGAAAATGAAGGAGAACAAAATTATGTTCCGTTTACTTAATTAAATTATTATTTTATTCTGGATTATTTCGTTCCTATGTGCACTTTATGTGCGTTGTGCAAAAACAATTTCTGTCATATTTTTAAGTGGGCCCGGGGAATGTGATTTATGATTAGTACTCCCCGGGGATTATGGCACAAAAGCTTTGCTATTTTGGCTCTGCTATCGAACTTTGTGAATAATTGAGTAAAGTGAAGGTAATATAACCACTGCTCCGGGAACCTTTCTCCCCCTACCGCAGCTCTGTTTTCGCATAAATAAATTATCGTTTATTTTACGCTTGAGTTGGGGGCGGCATTTATCGGGTATCCAAAAGTTGTATGTAAATAATACGAACAAAGGTATACTACACACAAAAAGAATACTTTTGGATTGTGGAAAAGCGTTTGGCCAAACGAGCATCCGTATCTGCCGGATGTGTCGACCTTTTTTGTGTCTGTGTGTGGGTACCGATCCATTAGGCGGCTTATAAGCGCAGCTCCATCCGAGTGTCCGTGAATAATTTGGGCAATAAAATAGGAAAACGGTTCCCGGGCGCAACAGTTTGCAAATTATAAATTTCTCGGGTACCTTTTCTCCATTTCCTTGGCCACTGACGTCACTGGGTAGTATTGAGGGGTATTCAGCTGTCAATTTGCTGGATGGCGGCATGTTTCAGTTTCTCTTGACGGCTGTGACGACGACGATTGCGGCGTGTCCTTTTCTGCAGGACATTGGCTGACATAAACCCCGAATCGATGGGGTATAAATACGCCTTTTGTGTGTCCCCAAAAATAATGTTTATGCAGGCCAACGCCAACAAAGGTTCGCCCAGCATAAATAACTGGTGGATTCTGAAAGAGTAAAGGACCATAGGGAATATTTTTCAGGGGGCGTGCCAAAACAAAAAGTTCACTGAATTGGAAATTTCGCTGAAGCAACTTTCGTGGCGCCGGAGGTTGGGCGGAAAAGCGGGATGCAGCTATGTGGGAAAACTCAAAACGCGAAAGGCACACGCGAGTGCGAGAGAGTAGGATTACTCCTGTGTCAAGTAGAACGCAAAATTTTAATTAATGCGATTATAACACACAGTCCCATATACAAGCACGAAAACCTGCGTAAAACGGGAACCGGAAGCGAGCAGACAAAAAGCTTTTCCGCATTTTAGTGCACCTAGTGCCTCCCGCATTCTGCTGCTCACATGCAGGATGGAGCAATCCTCCCCTCAGGTCCATGGAAACTTTGCACGTTGACAAAGTGAATCCAAGTGTGAAGCGATAGAAAGTTATGGCCAATGTTTTGTTTGGCCCGCATTTAATGAGTTCTTGGGTGCTTGGGGCTCCAAAAGGAATTTAAAGTGCCAACGAGCCACAGCGGCAAAGGAAAGGATAATGAAAGAATTTTAAATGTCCCTATTATACATAATTAATTTTTTCAGAGAGAATAATTACGTAAAGTTGATGTGCACACACATTCCAAAATGAAAAGGGTTGAAAAAAAAATAACATAACTAAAGAGGAAAAAGAATGTTGTAGTTATCTGAAAGAAATCTTGGAAGGGACCTTTTTACTCTACAAGTGGCGGTATATCCTTAACGGGAATACAAAAAGTGCTAATTAACAGAATGCCAGAAACAGATTGCACATTCTATGTAAAATCTGTAAGTTTGCTTACGACAAATGTAAAAATACCCACAG